CACTCTCACTCCCACTCTCACTCTCACTCTCACTCTCTCTGTCTACATGTGCGTGTGTGATTGAGTATTTTTCTCACTCCCACTCTCACTCCCACGCTCACCTCCCACTCTCACTCACACTCTCACTCCCACGCTCACCTCCCACTCTCACTCCCACGCTCACTCCCACTCTCACTCTCACTCTCTCTGTCTACATGTGCGTGTGTGATTGAGTATTTTTCTCACTCCCACTCTCACGCCCACTCTCACTCCCATCTCACTCCCACTCTCACGCCCACTCTCACTCCCACGCTCACCTCCCACTCTCACTCTCACTCTCACTCTCTCTGTCTACATGTGCGTGTGTGATTGAGTATTTTTCTCACTCCCACTCTCACTCACACTCTCACTCCCACGCTCACTCCCACTCTCAACTCCCACTCTCACTCTCACTCTCACTCTCTCTGTCTACATGTGCGTGTGTGATTGAGTATTTTTCTCACTCCCACTCTCACTCTCACTCTCTCTGTCTACATGTGCGTGTGTGATTGAGTATTTTTCTCACTCCCACTCTCAACTCCCACTCTCACTCTCACTCTCTCTGTCTACATGTGCGTGTGTGATTGAGTATTTTTCTCACTCCCACTCCACTCTCACTCCCACTCTCACTTCCCACTCTCACTCCCCACTCTACTCCCACTCTCACTTCCCACTCTCACTCCCAACTCTCACTCCCACTCCCACTCTCACTTCCCACTCTCACTCCCACTCCCACTCTCACTCTCACTCTCACTCTCTCTGTCTACATGTGCGTGTGTGATTGAGTATTTTTCTCACTCCCACTCTCACTCTCACTCGTAGGAGAGGAGGAAGAGGAGGAAGCGGAGGAGGAAGATGAGGAAGAGGAGGAGGAGGAGGAGGAGGAGGAGGAGGAGGAGGAGGAGGAGGAGGAGGAAGAAGAGGAGGAGGAGGAAGAAGAGGAGGAAGAGGAGGAAGAGGAGGAGGAGGAGGAGGAGGAGGAGGAGGAGGAGGAGGAGGAGGAGGAGGAGGAGGAGGAGGAGGAGGAGGAGGAGGAGGAGGAGGTGAAACAGAAAAGGGAAGAGGAGGAAGAAGAGGAGGTGGAAGAGGAAAAAGAAGAGGAGAAGACGACGAACCAGACACATGAAACAGAGTGCCTAAAGTCTACCGCCATCAATAACGAATTCGCCACAAAACGTAACGGCGCCGCAGCAAACCCACGATCCCGCGGCGCACAGAACACACAATTCGCACAAATTCACGACACGAATACAAAGGCCGGCGGAAGTTTGTGGTACGTGTTGCTAATAATAAATGCACGATAACTTACAGAATACACGATTACAGGCGTTATTGGCGGCGGTGTTAACACGGACTGACACTGTACGTCGGTTCCGAATAGACAGTTAGCGTGCCGTCAGGGTAATGTTGTGTTGACGTATTCTCAGCTGGTCTGAGTTTACCGGCGTTTATTCGTTTATCTACTGCATCGTCTTATTTTAATTTTGAAACGTATGAAATCAAACAAACTGTTCACGTAAAAATATAAGATATTATATAAAATAAATAGAATGCATACTGAAAAGGAGTCTTAAAAAACGGGTATTTTACACCCCACGTTCCTTAACTAATAAGGGAATCATTTCAACGCATTCGCGCTACTAGCAAAAAAAAAAAACAATATATCCAACTAACCTACTTGATGCCCTAATCGTCAGGCCATTCCAACATGATAATCACAGAGGGGAAACAGAATACCATGCATTTCAATTACGCTGGGGAAGGGGGGGGATGAGAGCCCATCCCATAGACCACCGAGAGGGCAGTCGACACCCCTGAAGTGGCTATAGCAGTGAGCGCTTTCGAGGGTTAAATACTCCTAAAAAAAACAAAGCTGGTGATCGGGTCGAGGCGGATATCGTGACCGGCCTCGGGAAAGCGAAGCGGGACTGAGTGCCACGGAGATAAAGCGTGCAATTTAACCGCAACTGTTTCCAGGATCACTATGTAAAGTCTGTGTGTGTGTGTGTGTGTGTGTGTGTGTGTGTGTGTGTGTGTGTGTGTGTGTGTGTGTGTGTGTGTGTGTGTGTGTGTGTGTGTGTGTGTGTTTGTGTGTGTGTGTGTGTGTGTGTGTGTGTGTGTGTGTGTGTGTGTGTGTGTGTGTGTGTGTGTGTGTGTGTGTGTGTGTGTGTGTGTGTGTGTGTGTGCGTTTTTACATCGATAAATAGATAAACAAATACAGACATTTAATATAATCAGAGAGAAAAGTAGAACACACAGATAGACAGAAAGACACAGACATCATTCACCTGTATTTGCGAACGGCAGGCTATTTTGAATTCCAACACCAAAATGAATTCCCTTGAACGTAACTCAGTTATCGCGTCATGTAAAAACAATCTGCAAAAAATGGTCTCCAAACACATTAAGCTAAAAAAATAGTAATAAAATAAAAAAAATACACAAATAGATATTTTCCTTATAGAGGAAAAATAAGCTAAACATCCGAAAACTTTACAGACCAAGGCGCCATCTGGACGGAATCTCTCGAATAAATTGATGCAACACAGCCGAACTTCCGTTGCAGCGAAAGAAAGAATCAACAGAGAAAGTGCAACGTCAGCGG